AGTGTTATCATAAGTTGAACCAAGAATCTCAATGTGAAAACCAGAATCAACATTTGCCAGCCAAATGTAAGATAAATAATGAATAAAATGGATAAAATACCTTCTGTATGGCTTTGATTGCTAAGAAAAAAGGCATAACCATATTAGGCTATTTGAGTGCCTATATTAAATTGTATTTTTCTACAAGTGTTTCTTTAGATTATGGGCATATTTGGTTTTATATGTAAATTTAAAGCTCCTGTATACCTGTTTCAATTGAATTATTTTTATATATAAATTTGACTCTTATGTACACATTCCAACCATGTTACTTTTCTTTTACACATTATAATGCTGAAAAGGAAAGACTTCAAAGTTCCTAAGGGTATAACAGTTCAGGTTAGAGAAATCCACATATTTTTCCAAGTTTAGGAAATAAAGACCAGGTGTTCTGCACAGATTTTCCCAAAGCTTGAAAGCACATCTGTGAAATGAGACTAAGCCCTCTAAGTGCTCTAGGACTTGAAAGAACAGAGGCTAACTAATTCCATGAATGGGCAGGGCAATGAGCTATACTCTTAGGAGTTTCATTCTAATTCATGGGTTCATCTTGCTTCTTGAAATGACAGGTTTTCTAAGATAAAAATAAAACCAACAAGAGGATTCTTCGAGTTGCTGACTGTCTGTTCCAATTATGCATCTGGAACCGCAGAAGTAAGCCAGGATGGACTTGGGGACCCTCTGGGCCCACTGTACCATGGATCACAACTTAAGTAACACTGATCATCTAACTTCCAAGAGCCCCAATCCTCACTGCAGGACCACAGTAACATTTTGGGTCACCTGGAGTTAGTGTTAGTCCAGAGCCAGTGTCCAATAGTCCTGGAAATGTCTGATTATGCCCTTTTCCTCTACCAAGCACTCAGGAAGAGGCTATGAGTCCCATTGGGGGAAGTCTGACAGATTAACACTGTGATTTTTTTGGCACAGTGGTGGAATCTTTTCTTAAGGGAACCTGGCCTCCCCTTCATTCAAAGGGCTCAGGCTTTGTAAACTAGCTCCAGGTTGGGATTGAGGGACTCTGACTCTTGTTATGATACAAACTCTTCCACTGGCACATATTAAGAACCTAGCAAGTACTAGTAGGGTTTTCTTCTAGGAATACCATGATGAGCCAGCTCTACAGTGTCTGGTCCAGTCACTGTTCTGGCTACGTTTCAGTATCCATGTCCACTCACCTTTGGGGCTACGTGAGGACACCTAGGTTTCCCTGCCCGCCCTTCATGTTTCTGGCTTCTTGGCCTCTACGATCTTGTGAGCTGATGCCTTCAGCTAAATATCTATATATATTCTCCCCTCTTTCCTTCTACCCCTCTCAATTAGTCTGTTTCTCTGAAAACCCCACATAAAAGGATGGGTATGGAAGACTCATACCCATATGGAAGACAACAGGCATTCATTGAGCAGCAATGGGCCAGTTTTCTAGGGATCAAGAGAAAAAAAAAAGCATTTGATTCAAATATAAAATTAGAGAGCTTGCAGAGCATGTTTTTTACTTTCTGGATTCCTGTCATCAACACTGTTAAATTTTGTTGGACCTACCACAAATCACTGAAAAGTGTGCAACCACCTAAATATATATTTTTTTCTAAACATATTTTTGGATAAATATGCATCCAATAACTGAAATCTGTTCAGAGAGCCCAGACCTTTCTAGAAGGGAAATAGTACAGACTTCAGGCCCATCTCCAGGTACAGACAGAAGAAGGCAGGTACTCACACTGCTTTGCTCTGTCCTCGTCCAGGTTGGCCTCGTGGACGGCTTGTTGTATCTCATCCAGCCAGAGGACTTTAGAGACGCACTCAGCATCCTGGGAACAAGGTCATAGAGTCAGGGGCAGAAGAGTAAGAGCTGATAGCACAGAATCCACAACCGCTTCTCAGGAGCTCCTGTCCTGTAACTTCCACACATCCTTCCCTAGCAATGCACAGCACCACCACATGCAGCACACACCGCTCATGGCTGACTCCAGGCCATCCACTCCCTGCTTTCCCAACACCTTAAGCCCAGCCCAGCTTCTGCTGCTGAATGGACAGCAGCACTGGTTCTGAGGATACTCTGTACTGGGATATGTACTGGGCTCTATAGAAAAACCACACAATCTCTTTTCAAAGTAGATATCTTGTTATTCTGTGCCCCCCAACATCCAGCAATCAGGAGATATGCATGGTTCTGGGACTATGGGGCTAGGATGATCCAGCCCTACACACCCTACACCTCCCAACTCCCCCATCCTGTTCCGGAACTCCATGAGCATCCTTCAGAACACACCACCTACTACCGTGTCTCAGCATTCAGGCTGCCACTCAAATGCGATCTCCTCCAGAATGCCTTCTATGGCTACCTAGTCATGTATTCTTTCCCCTCAGCATTTTTTTTTTTTTGTCTCTGTTGTAATACACAGCAATCACATTTATCTTGGGGAACTAGTACATAGACATGTCGCCTCTTGATCATTTTTCGTTTTTATTCCCCTTCTCTCCACCCTGTCTTCCCATCATTTGTTTCCTTGTTCATCTCCACAGGCTCTCTCCCTGTTTGCTGTTTTTTTTTTTTTTTTTTATCTTGTTCTTATTTATGCTTTGGGTTTCTCATATTTGAGAAACCATATATTTAACCTTCCACATCTGGTTAGTTTTATTTAGCACTATGGTCTCAAGCCATCATTTTTGTATGAATGACTCAAATTTATTCTTCTTTGTGGCTAAACAGAACTGCATTGTGTATAAATCCCATTTTCTTTATTTGCTCATCTGTAATCCCTAAGAATACAATAACTCTGGATCCTGAACTATATGCCAAGATGTCCCAAGGTGCCTTGCAATATTTTGACATGTTAGTTGGGGTTTAATTCCTATGTCTCAGCAGTACAGGGCAGTGGGAACATGTTAAGTTTGAGGGAAATACAAAGACACCCAACATTTGTCAGCTTCAGAAACAGAAAAAGCCCCAAAACATGGTGATTGCCTTTTAGGAGCTAGCAGTCTAGTGGAAGAAACAAATGTGTCCAGAGATAATTATTATTATGTGATCATGGTGGTCCTGGCTGAAGATACATGATGGACATGTAGGCAAGAGCAAATTAACTTATGCTTTGGAACTTGAATTACAGAAGAGTTGTTAAGCATCACTTCAGACAGGAAGTGATACAGATCTACATGTGGAGCCACTGGAGCACCAAAGCTACTGCAAGAGAAAATGTCAGGTTACTATTCAAATTGTGCTGCTTGACAGCAATGACCCTGGCTGTTGCTTTGCCCAAGCTTTAAGATACCAAAGGGGGGGGGGGAAGAAAGAAAGAAACCCAAAGGGCAACAGACAAAGAATTCCACATTCCAACCAGTACTGTGGATCACAACAGTTGTAAAATTATTGCTAAGTGTGGGACTTTGGGCCAAAGAAGCTGGTACACAGGCAGATTTAAGGCCTCTTGAAATGACCACCAGGGGTTGATGAAATAAAGCACACCACTGTGAGTGTGCTGCTCACAGAAATATGGCTTTCTTAGCAATGGGCCATCGGGATGCAGATGTACCAGGGAACCTGCTGCTTAGAGTCTCTACACTGTTTTATGTACTGTTGTGATGTTAAGCCAACACTCAGCTGTGCCTCATGTTCTGTTGCGGAGTCACCCTTGTATGGAATAAACTAGCCGAAGCTTCAATAGTTGTTGGGGAAGAGAACTCATTACTAGGGGTGCGTGCCACAGCGACTGCTGGACTCCTCTCAGGATCTGCAGGTGTACACTGTGCAAGAGGCTGCTAAGGATGACACACACTTCCCTTCGGCTGCTGCCCATGTTGGAAGCCTCTGAACTCCTCTTCTGCTGGACCAATGGCACAGACCACATTGAGAAAGGCTTTCCTGAAGCAGCAGTCACTGTCCCTTCTGCAGTGCCTCACTGAAACTGTGTGCATTATCTTTGCCCAGGGAACTTTTCTCATGTGTCCACACAGATCTCTAGGGATTACCTACACAACAGGTGACATCCACCCAACTAGGAGAAACAGCTTGGAAAGAATCACTGGTGTGTGATTTAAGCCTCAGGAGATTCTCTGTTGTGACTAAACAGTTTGCACTAGAGTCTTCAGTCAATCCCAGAAGGTAGCTTAAGCAAATACAATGATAAATTAACTGTATGGCAAATTAACTATAATTTGCCATAATTATGATTATAGCAATTATCTATATGAGTGGATTACTAATATGCAAATTTACTGTGGATCTGTTTGAGGTCAAACTAGATTATTTTAAGGGTTTTTTTTTTTTTTTTTTTTTCTCCTCAAATGTCTTCAGGGCACTTTTGGCTAGCTGGAGTGCTGTGGGGATAGTACTACAGCAATCTGAGGCCGACAGGATTGTGGAAGCAGCCACTTAAAGAACTGAGCTAGGGTCAGGGCCCCAAAGGGCATTTCCTAACTTCAAGTTAATTCTGCTTTTCTTTTTTGCAGAACCGGGGATTGAACTCAAGCCCTTGTGCTTCCCAGGGAAGCACTTATTCCATTGAGCCATCTCCCCAGCCCTAAACTAGATTATTTTAGAACTAAGAAATTTCACTAATACATATAAATTTTATCTACACTAATGTAGATAAAAAGTAAAGAAATTACATGATACTAAAAAAATCATATGAGGGCTGGTGAGATGGCTCAGTGGTCTAAAGCACCTACTTAGAACAAGCTTAGCAAAGCACAGGGACTGTGGTTCAATCCCCCAGCACCACATGCCAGCCAGCCCCGCCCCCTGGTGGGCTGAGCTGGCCACACACACACAAATAAATAAATAACTGAGCTAAGGGGCAGTGCCCCTTTAAAAAAAAAAAATAAAAAAATTAAAAAATCATATGAAGCCATAACATGAAGTAAGAAGGTGTTGGGCAATATCTGTAGGTTAGAGCGCTAAATCCATTTCTGTACTACTGTAAATATTCTCTCAACAAGGTACCAAGGAGAAGGACAACACTCCTTCCTTGTTCTCCAATTCATGTACAATATTTTATCTCAGCAGCAGTAAAAACCTAGCACTTTTCTTACTAAAAAAGGCTGAAACCAGGCAAACTAGTCAAGAAATAGTGTAGTTTCTCCAGTGGAATCTAGGCCACGAGTGAGTGACCTCTGGGTAGTGACATAATGCTGTACTTGTGCCATTCACTGCATCATTGGCATTTCTTCGCTTGAAGATTAGCACCTCAGCAATTGTACCTTCTTAAAAGTGTGCCTGCCACGACTGATTTGGCTTTTAACTATGCAATGCAATAAAAATGTAAGTGTGAGCTGGGGGTAGCAGCATGTGTATGTGCCACCGCAGCATTTGAGGCGGGAGGATCACTGTGAATTGAATTACATAGTGAGATTCTGTCTTAAAAAACGCCTCCCCATTGAGTTTTGGAATAACTAGGAGAATAAAAGAATAATTTCTCATTGCTCATTTATTAAGTAGGAATCACATTCTGAAACTGTTTTAAAATGGGTAAAAATGAGGCATGGGCCAGATTCCAAACTGCTCTGCTCAGCAGCTATTTTCAACACAGCTTCTGTTGTCCCTGAGGTGTGCATGCACAGGGGGTGAGTCCTAGCACACATTCAGAATGGAAACCATGGGGACCAGTACAGCATCCCCAAAGCCTAGGCAGCAGGCACAAGGATTGCCAGATCCCTCGCCAGCTTGGGCTGAGTCACATCCTCTTCCTGTGGGGCCAGTGGAGCTCCCAGCTGCGCTGCATAGGGCGGCAACTGAGGGAAACAGTTCCCTGATTTTTTTTTTTTTTGCGGAACCGGGGATTGAACTCAGGTCCTTACACTTGCCAGGGAAGCGCTTATTCCACTGAGCCATCTCCCCGGCCCCAGTTCCCTGATTTTTATACGTGAGGGGGTATTTGAGAATTGGGACTCATCATTAAAATGAAAGCCCTCAGGTTTGCAACTCTGGACTGCTTTTGATGTTCGCCTTTTGTCAGGAAGGCAAACTGCATCCTGCCAGGTTTGGATAGGGTAGGGCTAGTCCATGTCGCGGGGAGTGAACTAAACCTAATTTCCTCTGCATCTACAGAAGTGCAAACCCAGAAAGCAGAGTGTGATACCTGAGTTTGTTCACATCAAACCTTGTCAAGGTCTAAGTGTTTTCTCCCAAGACTGAAAAATCTGTCTTCCAGTCAAGACTTTTGATATCTAAAATTGAGCTAAAAAGCCATTTCTTTGGGAATTTTTGCTTTTGTACTAATTTCCTCTCATTTAGGAAAGATGTTTATACTTCCTTGTGAGAGACAAATGCAGAAAACAAAATTATGGTCAGGAAGAATCCATTGCTTTCAGTAGCCAGTGACACCAACACATTAGTGTTTCTAAAATGGAACACTCTTTCTTGTACCCTCACAAATGATCTTTTAAAAAAATTTAGAAATAAGATTTCCCAATTATTATTACACCACCACGAACATGTTCCTTATTTCTTCCACCACACTGCAAGCCTGTTGTCTCCTGCTTACTCCAAAATTAACCAATCTGGAACAGGTCTGTACCGGTTGTGGAGATGGTGGGGAGATGCAACTGGGGGGAATAAAACAAAACTAATAAAAAACCACCTTCTGTGAGGGAACACTGCTTAAATTGATAGCTGGAATCCTAGAGATTGCCGCAGAAGGTGCCCAGGGAACCTCTAGATGGCAGCACCACGTGTGGGATTTGTGGATAGATCAGTCCAGGCTCTGGGAGCACGCAAGCCCAAAATTTAGGCAGCAGAGTTGTAAACAGTACAAGGTTTGCTGAAGAGGTTCCTTCAAGATGCTAGTGAAGTGTAGCAGACATGTGACATAACGACATTTTCTGAATCAAGTTACCTGACAGTCTCCGGTCCTACGCTAGCCTATGCTATGTCTTTGCCTAGTCATCATCAACAGGCTGCAATTCATGAATTAAATTCTGACTCTTCCTACACCTGGCTCATCTTTGCTCAAGTTTACCTTTTCCTTGACGTTCTGCTCAGACACCTGAATCCATTAACTGTGTCTGATCACCTAGATAACTTAGTCACCAGAGCTTTTGTCTGTCATGGCCCCTCTGGGGCTCCTGATGTTTCTTTCAACAGCATCATAAGCTCCTCACATGCAAGGAGCTTTTTCTAGCTTTTGTTCCTGCATGAGATAGCATGGGGCTAGGACATATGATATGTACTATATACATACCTGATGATTGCTTGAGCTATAATAATTTTTTTTTTTTTTTTTTTTTTGTGGAACTGGGGATTGAACTCAGACCCTTGTGCTTGCTAGGCAAGCGCTTATTCTACTGAGCTATCTCCCTGGCCCCCTAGCTATAATAATTTTTCTAAATAAGGACATCCCTAAACTCTATGGCCACAGAAATTATGTAGCATAAAAACGTCACTCTACCTTCATCAAAACAATAGACATACTGAGTGATGAATCACTTGTTATATTTCCTTTCAATTACAGGCAAGGAAAAGGGTAAATTATCAATGTCAACCTCAACTATTAAGACTAAAGGAGCTCCCCCAAATTCTGTAAACCCCACTTTTCTGCCAGAGAAAGCTGGACAGGAGCCAAGTAATCGTAAAAATGAAGGAAATATTTCAAATCTGCATGTGAATAATGCCAACATGGGGGACCTGAGCAGTTCCTAAGTTCCAAGGTGATACCCACCAACTGTTTGCTAGAGTTTGTGGCTGGTATGCTGGCCAAAATGTGACCCTGTGGAAAGTTTTCTTTAAGGCCACCTCTGTCACTATCTTCCACACTAAACTGGCTGTCACAGATACTCTTTGCTGTGCGACACTGCCATTTAAGCCAGCTTACCATCTCACTGGGAACCACTGAGTATTGGGAGAGGTCATGTGCTGGGCTATCACCATTATCATCTCTGGCAACATGTACTGTTCTACTCTGCTTCTCACCTGCAAGAGTATCAACTTCTACCTGGCCACCACCACCCTTTCATGTTCCGGAGGCTGTCCAAGTGCACCTTTGCTTTGCTAGCATGTAAACTGGGGTGGAGATGGGAGTCAACGGTCTTCTTATACGTGCTATTATGGTTCATCCTCATGCAGGAGATTGTCTTGTTCAGCCAAATACCACTGCCTACCATGATGTCCACAACATATGCATGGCTTCATCTCCCTTACAACTCTATCACCTCATTTCTTTGACTTTCTTTGGATTCTTGATTCATTTGTGATTATTATTTAACGCTACACAAACCTCACCTGCAACTTAATGCACAGGGTGCTAAACTGCTCAGGTATATCAAGACAATTTGCCTTATCCTTTTGATTTTTACCATTTGTTTTGTTCCAAGAAGTATTGAATGTCATTTATCATACAAACTATTTCAACAACACTGAAGGCTTATATATCATCCACCTCATAGGGCTGTGCCTAGGTAGCCTGAAGAGTTGCCTATAGCCATTCCTTTACTTTCTCATGTAGAAAGTCATAAATCATTTGAGAATGTAGTTCAGGGGCAGAGTACTTTCTTCACACAGGCGGGGCCTTGGGTCCAAGTCCCAGTACTGTGGGGGAGGGAATAGGAGAGGGAAAGCTCCAGGTAAAGTATTTTTTTAAATCTAAAAATAGACAAAAAGGTAAGGGAGACAACTGACATGCATAGGAAAAATTGCACAATGGTCTACTTCTTATCTTACAAAAGTGAGAGTGTCTTAGAGAAGAAAGAAAATTGTGGAAAACATGCATGCTGGGACAACATGTGCAGCACAAGGAATTCTGCTCTTCAATTCCACTACTGAGTTCCTAAGAAACAGTGCTTCAAATCTTAAGCATAAAAGCTTTAGACACTTTATCAGTATTTATCAGAATAATGCAGGAGAAAGGTTATCACTACTTGCTTTATCTTAATGGATATATATTTCATTTGCATTACTGGTGCTTCAAGATCTTACATTTCCTCTTTCCTTCACTTGTGAGTGGTGCCACCTTGGAATTCAGCATCATTTTTGAATCTTTTGATGGCTGCCTTATCTGTTGATTTTATCTCTGTAGTGTGCCTCACAAGGATTACTTAAAACCCTCACTAGCTTATATCACTGTCCTTGATCTTTGATAAAATAAACCTCCATTCTGTGAAGATGCCACCCTTCAAAGCCTTTAATGACATATACTTTGGAACAAGCTTTGTTATACCCCAGTCATGCCAGCAACATGATTTTCTTCCACTATTTTCCAGGGCCAAACCCTGGCCAAGGCAAAGCACGGAAATGCCACCCTATGAACACATGCAAATGTCCTGGAATCAAAATAGCAGAAGTTAAAAAGCAAGCTAAGACTCAGTCAAACAAATAATACATCAAAAATTTCCATGGAAAAAGATCAGACTGAGAAAAGTTTAAAAGCAGCAATTTATAGGCCGGCCAGATAGCTCAGCAAAATAAAGTGCCTGCTTAGGCAGGCACAGTGACCGGGGGTTCGATCCCTGGCATGGCATGCTGGCCCCGCCCCTGGGGTGCACTGAGACAGCAAATGATCCTGGGTGTGGTGGCACCCACCTGCAATCCCAGCACTTGGGAGGCTGAAAACAGGAGGATTACTATGAGTCTGATCTATGCAGTGAGACCCTGTACTAAAAAAAAAAAAAAAAAAAAAAAAGCAATTTAACCAAATCTGAGGCACCA